TCCCTCTCTCTCTCTCTCACACACACACATCTCCATTCCCTCTCTCTCTCTCTCACACACACACATCCCCATTCCCTTTCCCTCTCTTTTGTGCGTATGTCTATGTGCACGCTTGTGTCTGTGACTTTGTGTTTATGTATGCAACTGTGCATGTGTGTGTCAGTGTGTGCACAACCGTGAGTTTGTGTGTTGCTGTCTGCGCACAGGCGTATTTGTGTGTGCGCGTCTGTCTGTGTGCACCTGTGCGTCTGTGTGCTTGCGTTCATCTATGTGCGTATCTGTGTTACATATGTGTGCGTATGTATTTATGCGTTTGTGTGTCTGTGTGTGCAAGCGCACGGGTCTGCATGTGCACTTCTGTCTGTGCGCATCTGTATGCATGCGTCTGTCTGTGTGCTTGTGTGCGCGTGCACGTGTCAGTGTGCATGTGTCTGTGCAGTGTGTGTGCACGTGCATGTGTCTGTGTGCGTGCATGTGTGTCTGTGTCTGTGTGCATTTATGTATGTTTGTGTATGTATATGCGCGTGTCTGTGTGCGTGTTGCAACAATTTCTTCCGTACCCCAAAATAGGTTTGAATTAATGAATAATAAATAATCCTTACGTCTCTTCCAATCTGAAAGAGTTTGCTGTGCGTCACTTTAAAATCTGGGCTTCACAGAAGGTGTTTTGTGGGGAGGGGGCTGTAAAACACACCACGGTCTATTTCAAAAAGGCAAGTAAGATAAACATTCAAAGACATTGTGACTCTGTGGTTAGCTCTGCTGCCTCACAGCACCAGGATTCCGACCTTGGGCAACTGTCCTCGTGGAGTTTGCACATTCCTCCCGTGTCTGCATGGGTTTCCTCTGGGTGCTCCCGTTTCCTCCCACTGTCCAAAGATGTGCAGGATTAGGGTAGCTTGGCCATGCTAAATTGCCCCATAGTGCCCTGGGATGTGCAGACTAGCCATGGGAAGTACAGGGTTACAGGGATTGAGCACAGTCATGTATAACATGGAAACAGACTCTTCGGTCCACCTCGTCCACGCCAACCAGATGTCCTAAATTAATTCAGTCCCATGTACCAGCATTTGGCCCATATCCCTCCAAATCCTTCCTATTCATGTACCCATCCAGATGCCTTTTAATGTTGTAATTGTACCAGCCTTCACCACTTCCTCTGGCAGCTCATTCCATAGACGCACCACCCTCTGCATGAAAAAGTTGTCCCTCAGGTCCCTTTTATATCTTCCCTCCACCCCACCCCCACCTTAAACCTATTCCCTCTAGTTTCAGACTCCCTGCCCTGAGGGAAAGAAAGAGACCATGCCCCGGACAGGGTACAGGCTTCTCCGAGGGTCAGTGTGGACTCGATGAGCCAAAAGGCCTGCTTCCACACTGTGGGGATTCTAAACTACTTGATTGAAGGGCACTCAGGAATGGGCGACAGATGCCACCAACGCCAGGGTCCCCGTGTGAAAAGGGACAGAAATGTTCATTAAAAACTAGATTTTCTTTCCCCCACATGAAGTTAGGTAGTTAAATTGTGGGGGGTGGGGAGTCCTACATTGGCTGTAATCTCGGCAACTGCCAGAATAAACTGGAGGGTCTGAAAAGGAAGGGGAACAAATTAGAAATGGGAGATCTTGCATTGAGGCTAGTGCAATGCAAACCCTCCAAAACTACTGTAGCAGAAGGAAATTCCCCTGGGGTGGACAATCTTGCCTAATAGCTGGCGTGTCCAAAGTGAAAGACAGTGTGAATGTACATATGCACATCTCTGTCCTCCCTCACCCTGCCTCATTCACCAAATCAATCCCCCCCCCCCAACCATATGCATTCCCCCTGTAACAATGAGCGAACCACGAGGAGATGTTCAAAACATTTTTTTAAACACCTTCAGAGATTTCGGCAAAAAAAATGTTTTTAAAAACAAAGCCAAGTCGTCTATAATACAGCGCACCGATTAATTTGATCGAAACATGTTTTTTGTTTTGCATTTACACCTGTTCGTTTGCATCCACCTCTTGCAAGCATTTAACCTAACCAAAAATATATCATTATCTTGCCAATGACACAAAGCAAACGGCTATGCATCTGCTTCCTGCAGATAAAAGAGCATTTATCCACATTGCATTTGCTGCTTTTACTGGTCGAGGGAGATTCGAGGGGGGTGGTGTAAAGAATAGATGTCGGGAACAAAAGTAACAGGCCAATTCTCAATCTCCCTCCCCCCCCCAAAATAAAATTATAGCCATTTAGGCCGAATGAAGTTGAAGGCTGTATCTCTGCAGATCCCGGTGAATTTACAAGCCTGGCAGCCGCCAATGAACCACCCTCTTACCCCGCACCCCCCATTTGCCTTTTCTTCTTTTCTGCAACACAAGCCACCCCAATTCCACATCTTTTAATTGATTTCAAGAGAGGAGGGCGGGTTAATATACACAGGACATTAATTTCCGCCTCACTCCCCTCGGGGAGGGGAAAAAAATTTACGATTGTGTGCGCCAAATTAATATAACTCTTTGCATTTCGGCCAATTGTGTGCCGCCCTTTTCGACACAAATGTCGGAATTTTGATTAAAATAAACTAGTGGAAAAACAAAGTTCATTATGCAAACAATTGTTATCCACCCACCCCAAAATAACCTACAAATTAATGGAGGATAAATACATCCATTTTCTTATCATGTCACATCTTTGTTGCACTCTACATTTTATTTTTGCATTCCACGGTAAAGCATGCTGACTTCACCTTTTGCCAGCACTTTAATCTGCTGGAAATGCTATTTTTTTGTGCATTTTCTATTTGAGTGTTGTTTTCCTGCATGGCTTAAAACAGCCAGAAACTCCTGCAAATCTCTGCTACTGCAGGAACAGAGTCCCAGCTTTGCTGCATTAGCTTATTCCCCCTCCCCTCCCGTCTCTCCTGTTGCAATCAATAAAGAGGCGCTCTAAATTATGCAAACAGCAGATATTAATATGCAAAAATTAAGAAGACAGACAGAGAAGAGAGTGCACATTACCGGCGCTTCCATCGGTGGGCGCTGACTCCATTCAAGAGCAGGCAGCCTGGATCCGGAGCACGCCCCAGCCGCGCGTCGCCGGGCAACCAGCCTGTCAGTCAACCTGTCAATCTCCAGGGTTTCGGGCCCCGCCCTTTCGCCCGGGCCCGTCGCCGAGCAACTAGCCTGCCAATCAGTAAGGGTGCGTCCGGCTCCGCTCCCGCCCTCGGAGCCCGCCCCTGCCGCGCGTTGCCGGGCAACCAGCCTGCCAATCAGTAAGGGGCCCGCCAGCTGTGACCCACCTTACGGAGACCGCACCAGCCGCGCGTTGCCGGGCAACCAGCCTGCCAATCAGTAACGGACCTCCGGCTCCGCTAACCTCACTATGAGCCCGCCCCTGCCGCACGTCGCCGGGCAACCAGCCTGTCAATCCATAAGTGGGCCACCGGCGCCGCCCCCGCCCCGGGGCCCGCCCCTGCCACGAATCGCCGGGCAACCAGCCTGTCAGTCAGCCGGCGGTGGACTCGCGCCCCGCCTCCTTCTCCCAGCGTCCGCCCCCTTCACGACGCCGCAAACTAATCGCACGCAAATTGCTTGACGTCATCCCACCCCGCCCCCTCCCCGCCGTAGTGGGAGGGGAGAGGGTGAGGAGGAGGAGCGGAGCCGCCGCGCTGCCGCAGAGCAAGATCCTCTTCCCTGGGTCATTGAGGCTTGCCCGGGATCCAGGGTCGTGGGTTCGAGCCCCACTCCGGCAGAACGTTCTCACCTTCTTCCCACTGTAATATTTTCAGTCGACATAGTTTCTCGTTGATCTTTTCAAAACGTAAAATAGAAATAAAAAATACAATAAATAAATTAAAATAAACCTTTAAATAATTTAGATCATGTTGATCTGGTGTAGTTTTAGCAGTCCTGACTTCTTTTGTAAGGTACGATTACATGATTAATTTTGGGTCCCCAAGACAAGCTCTCGCTCAAAAAAATTTGAATTGTAGAATCCCTACTGCGTGGAAGCAGGCCATTCATCCCATCAAGTCCACTCCGACCCTCTAAAGCTAGCCGGCCCTCTAACCTGTAATCCTGCACTTCCCTACCTTACACATTCCTGGACACTTTGGGCAATTTCGCATGGCCAATCCACCCTGTGGGAGGAAACCAGAGCACCGGAGGAAACCCAGGCAGATACGTGGAAGATGTGAAAACTCCACACTGACTGTCGCCCAAGGCTAGAATCAAACTCAGGTCCCTGGTGCTGTGAGGCAGCAGCACTAACCACTGAGGCACCCGAGTTGGTACTTCATCCACCACCATCAATATTCACTCCTTCTACCAACGATACACATTTGCAGCAGTGTGTAACAACTACAAGATGCACTGCAGCAAATGACAAACGTGGGTAACATTAAGACAAACCCAAAGGTAATTTATATTAGGGGCAAGCGAATAGCCAGTCAAAGAGTCAGGCCCACAAGGGAAAAATTTTACAATCTGTGTGTGAAGCCTGAAGAGACGGGTGAAAGTTAAAATGAATACTTGCGTCTGTATTCACAATCCAGAATTACAGAATTGTTACAGCAAAGAAAGCAGCCATTTGGCCATTGTACCTGCACTGGCTCTGTGCCAATGTCCTTTTTAGCATCCCATAATCCCTGCACACCAATTTGAACCAAATAATCATCAGTGCTCTCTTGAATGCCTCAATTGAATCTGCCTCCACATTTCCAAGCAGAACTTCCAGCCTCTAGTTACTCACTGTGTGAAAAAGTTCATTTTCTCACTTCAGCCTTGCTTCAGTTGCACATTACTTTAAGATCTATGTCCTTTTTTTTAAATGTGCAAGCAGGAACAGTTTCTCCCCGTCTTTTCTGCTCAGCTGCTCATGATTTTGAAAACCTCTCAGCCTTCCTCTCTTCAAGGAGAACAGCTCCAACTTCTTTGAAGAGAAGGACAAATCCAAGTTTGGAAATTAGGGAGGCGCACTGTGATATATTTGAACAAATTGTGATCGAGAGGGAGGAGGTATTAGCGGTTTTATCAGACTTGGGAGTAGATACGTTCCTTGGCCCAGATGAAATGTATCCCATGATGCCATGGGAAGCAAAGGAGGACACTGCAGGGGCCTTGACATTATATTTCAAATCCTCTCTGGCCACAGAAGGGGTGCCAGAGGGCCAGAGGACGGCTTATGTGCTTCCATTATTCAAGATGGACAGTAGGGATAAACCAGAAAACTACAGGCCCCTGAGTCTAACATCTGTGGTAGGGAGACTATTGGAAAACATTCTGAGGGACAGAATTAATCCCCACTTGGAGAGGCATGGATTAATCAAGGATAGTCAGCACAGCTTTGTAAGAGGGCGACCATGTTGGAGAGATGTTGACAGAAATTTTTGAGGTGACCAGGTGTTCATGGGAGGATATTGCAGTGGACATAGATTTAGATTTTATTATCACGTACACTCATAGTGGACCCCGAAGAATGTTAGTTCAGAGTACAAAGAGACCTTGATCAGATGGGCCAATGGGCTGAGGAGTGGCAGATGGAGTTTAATCTAGATAAATGTGGGGTGCTGCATTTTGGTAGGGTGAATCAGGACAGGAGTTATACACTTAATGGTAAGGTCTTGGGGGCTGTTGCTGAACAATGAGACCTTAGAGTGCAGGTTCATAGTTCCTTGAAAGCAGAGTTGCAGGTAGATTGGGTAGTGAAGAAGGCATTTGGTATGCTTGCCTTTATTGGTCAGTGAATTGAGTACAGGATTTGGGAGGTCATGTTGCGGCTGTCACTATGAGAATACTGCATTCGTATCGGTCCTTCCCACTATAGAAAATGTGTTGCTAAACTTGTAAGGGTTCAGAAAAGATTGACAAGGATGTTGCCAGGGTTGGAGGGTTTGAGCTATAGGGAGAGGCTGAATAGGCTGGGGCTATTTTCACTAAGTTTATAAAATTATGAGGGGCATGGATAGGGTGAATAGTCAAGGTCTTTGTCCCAGAGTAGGTGAGTCCAAAACTAGAGGGCATAGGTTTAAGGTGAGAGGAAAAAGACTTAAAAGGGACCTAAGGAGCAACTTTTTCACGTAGACGGTGGTGTGTGTATGGAATGAGCCGCCAGAGGAAGTGGTAGAGGCTGGTACTCTTACTGCATTTGAAAGGTATCTGGATGGGTATAACAATAGGAAGGGTTTGGAGGGATATGGGCCAAATTCTGGAAAATGGGACTAGATTAATTTAGGATATCTGGTCAGCGTGAACCAGTTGGACCAAACAGTGTGTTTCCATGCTGTACATCTCTATGACTCTATGGATACAGGACCTCAGGAGTACAGTGAAAAGGGTACAAAGTCGCCATTTTTTGGCACCATCTCAGTACGCCAAAGACAGGTTAAAAACGGAAGCAGAAATGAAAGAAACAGCCAAAAGAAAAGGAAATGTTCCGATGACTCCTCACCTCTGCCATGAGTCCTCGCTGTCAGAAAAACAAAGCCACAATGTCCATCCCTCAGTCTGGCACCCCGGCTACCAATGCAATTGGAATGCCACAACCACCTCCGGTGTCAGGTACCCGGGCCCAGCTCTGGCCTGGAGCCTCACCACCACTGCTGGAACCATGGTGCCATTCTAGATTTTGGAAAGACATTTGACAAAGCCTTGCATGGTAGACCGGTTCATTGAATTTGGCAAATTGGATCCAAACTTGGCTTATTGGCGGGGGATGATAGCCGAAGGTGGTTTTTGTGACTGGAAGTCTATGTTCAGTGGCGTAATGTAAGGTTTAGTTCCTCGCTGCTTTAGTCTTCATTAACGATCTACACATGAATGTAGGGGATATGGTCAGTAAATTCGCAAGCAGCATGGAGATTAGTGATGTGATAAATAGTGAGGAGGAAAGCCTTAGGCTACAGGATGATATAGACAGGCTTACCAGATAGGCAGAACAGTGGAAACTGGTATTTAATCCTGAAGTACATGGGGATCAGAGTGACCCGGTGTGCATGGTCACAGAACCTGGGAAGTCCAGGGGTTAGTGGGACCTTGACATGCATGTCCACAGACAGCAGGAGAGGTAGATATAATGGTTAAGAAAGTATTTGGGATGCTTGTCTTTATTAGTCAAGGCACTGAATGCAGGAACAAGGAGGTTATGATAGAGGTGTATGTAACATTAGACCACAGATGTGATTCACACTAGAGAGCGTGCAGAGGAATGTTGCCTGGGCTAGAACAATTCTGCTGTGAAGAGAAACTGGGAAGACTGGGGTTGTTCTCCTTAGAGCAGGGAAGGCTGAGGAGAGAACTGAGTGAGGTGTACAATGGTGTGAATGCATAGATAGAAACCTTTCCCCTTAGTAGAAGGCTCACTAACCAAGGGGCACAATTTGACAGTAAGCAGGAGGTTTGAATTGAATTGAATTGAATGAGCTTTATTGTCACAGGTACTCAAATGACTACCGTGAAAAGTTTACAAGTCACTACTTACAGCGCCATCTTGGTTACAAAGATACCTGGATACAGCTTCTTCAGTTACAGGATTAGTTCCAGTGTCACAATGTCACCAACACAAGGTGCCATCTTAGGTACAGAGTACCTTGGTACAATCCTTAGCTACACAATAGAGAATGAAGAAGAAAAAAAGTTACATTGCAGCTGTACACAGTATAACCATAGATCAGAAAAACAAGGAGCAATGTTAAAAAGACAAACATCACAGTTTCTCTCCCAAGGGTTCTCCACAGCAGACCAGCGCAGGGAGCCTCTACGTGGTCTGACCATTGGCTGCTGCCATGCTCCATTCTGGGCCACTGATGCCAGATTCCACGTTGGTCACTGGCATCCCCACTCCGGGCCGTTGGTCGCTGGCATCCCCGCTCCGGGCCGTTGGTGGCTGACATCCGCACTCTGGGCTGTTGGTCGCTGGCATCCCCGCTCCAGGCCGTTGGTCGCTGACATCCCCGGCTCTGGGCCGTTGGTCACTGGCATCCCCGCTCCAGGCCGTTGGTGGCTGACATCCCCGCTCCAGGCCGTTGGTGGCTCGCATCCTCACTCCGGGCCGTTGGTCGCTGGCATCCCCGCTCCGGG